CCCCAAAACCCCAAAACCCCAAAACCCCAAAACCCCAATTATTAACTCTAACATTGAAATTAAATGCTGATAAAGTTTGAACGAGCTTCATGCATCCATCCTAGCCATTTTGTGAAACAATTGGTGTTCTTTTCTGTAGATCAGATGAACTTGACAAGACCCACTCTGAACTCCTCCATCTCTTCTTTCTTGTGCTCAAATGGTAAAATAGGAGCCTTCAACTCTCTTTGATATTTGTTATATCTGTCAAAAGCAACTCTATTTAGCATGAGGCCTTCTCCTGGAGCTGTGGGGACATTGATCTGGTTATCCTTGAGTGAATTCTCAATAAACTTCTCTGAAATGCCATAGTGCATGACCATGAACACAGCACCCATCATCTTTCTGATTTGGTTGTAAAGGAAGCTTTGTCCTTGCAGGAAGACTCTAGCAAACTCGATTCCATCGTAGACTCTGTAATCCAACACTTTTACTTGCATAATATATCTTTGGCTATTCTTGTCCTTAGATTTCATCTGTTTTGTGTAGTTGTGATACTTATGAGTCCCTTCAAACTTTGACAACAACCCCTCAAGAATTTTCTTCTTGGCATCAGGAAGGCGGTATTCATACATTTCCTCTAAGCATGAAGAATCGACATTCACTTTGACTCTTTTGATGCATCTCGGATTATCAGGGTCGATATCTTGGATTGGTTGGTCCTCGGGCACAGTGTATTTGATGTTAATATCACTTGACAACATGAATGTAGGCATATAGTATTCGTATTCTCTGAAACTAGCAGCATGCTTTGCGTCAAACCCTCCCAGACCAGGGAGGAATCCAAAAATTCTAATTTCTGGACACAATTTTGCGTTGACCTATATAAAATATGTTTCTAAAATTTACCTCTTCAGCTAGATCTTTGAGCTCCTTATCTTGGTCAATGAGCAGCTTCCCAGAGAAACAGTTTTGCAGTGCATGGACTCTTTTGTCAGTTCTGGTAGCTCTAGTCCATCTGATCTTCTTAAGATCACCATAATTCCTATAATCTATCATGCCTGCTTCAAAGAGGGCTTTTTCAAGATCGCTCTCGACAGTTCTGATTCCATCCTCGCTTTGTTTCTGGGAGCCACAGAAATCAGCTCCGTTATAGCCAACAATCATAACGGTTTTTCTCTTCGGATTCTTTTTCTGGTGCTTGCGCTCTTCTTCACGCTCAGGATCTGGAGGAATGTACTTGGTCTTTTCAAATCGTTCATACATCTCTTTCTTGTTCTTGTCTTTCTTGGAATCAGTGGTGTCCTGAGGGTCAGCTGAGATTTCCTGAGGCTTTTGTTGATCCTCCTTTTGTTGTTCCTGAGGTTCCTTGGAGATCTCCTGTTTCTCAATAGGAGGATCAACGGCTTTTGGTTCAGTGCTTTCCATCTTTGAAGTGTCTAATTTATAAATAAAAATCCTGAAGAATTCAACCACTATTTTGTAATCCGGGGTTTTGGGGTTTTGGGGTTTTGGGGTTGGGGTTTTGGGG